AGTATAGCACTAAGGGTCCTTATCTATTAAATCAAGAAATTCTGCTCAGAGGCTGCCTTCAGGCTTGAAAGAAATTAGGCAGAAGGGATTCTTTGCGCTGTTTAAACAACAACAGCAATGAACCTGGTAGTCTTAAAAAAATTTATTTTAATTTTCTTCCTTTGAGTGAACCGGATTTACTTTGACTCATTTAGACTGATTGCTGCCACCATTTCCTTTCTGTCAACCTGTTTTGTTCCCTGCAGCCTTCTGTCTGGTTATGTCCTCGGTGCCTAGAAATAATACGGGTCTGTCACTTAGCCGTCAGTGCTGGAGCTGAGGGAAGCAGTGTAGCTTTTCTGCTGTGGGCCTTCCTGTTACCTTTGGAAACACTAAAAGGGCAAAGAACTTTAAGGTCCTTATCGCAAATGCTTGCTTAGTCCCTAATAGTCTAATCAGCATGTGCAGATAATACCCTTAAGTGAGCTTTGTGGTTGAATGAGACTATTGTTAGCTCCACCTGTTGTAGATTTTATCCTGAGCTTATAAATATCTCCAAGGTTGGTTTTCACTTGAACCCTAACAGAAGTATAGGTGATAGGAGACTTTTTCTTTTACGTTTTTGTTCTTTAATAGGTCTTCAGCTTGCTTTATCTTTTTTAAAATTACCACATCTAGATAAAAGTTTCCATAGTGAATAAGAATGCTAAGTTGTGCTATTATCTGTCTAGTCCAGAAGGGTTTTTTTTGTAAGGAACTGGCATTAAAAACAGTGACATTTTCATCTGTTGTCTTAAATATAATAAAAATGTACTGGCTTCTGAAACTGAGTACTTTAATCTTTGGCTATGTTTTGTGTGTTTGTATCCTGTAAAGCCCATTCAAGCTGATTTTTATATCCTGTTCTTATAGAAGGTCAGTTATCCTGAAACACGTTATCTAGAGGCATGTATTTAGAAACATATCTGGGAGAGTTTCTTTGAATATAAGGCATTCAACAATGCTGTTTAGAAATCTTATATGAGTTTTAAACTGTAATACTTTTAAACTTTGTAGTAGGAATGCTGATATAGTAAAAAAGTATACACTATTAACCTGAAATAGGAGACAAATTTGTTAAGAATTTTTTCTCTTAATTGGAGAATATTATGCACTAAGGCTGTAAGAAGCCATATCTTAATAGGAAATGATTTTTAAATTCCTAAGACTGTTACTGATAGTTTCATGTAATACAGTTTAACTCTGAAAGTTGATATTAACTGTTAAGAGGCTCTACATTTTAAAGTATCAATCATCTACTTTTTACCCAAACATGACAGAGAAAATAGTTTGACTTCTTGCATAGTTTAGGATTCAACAGGATTTACTCAAAACTATGCTTGTAGCATAATATTACTAAAAAATGACATCAGTCATTAAGACACAGTTTATTCATCCACTTCACACAGATTTTATTAGGTAATCTAATATGTGCCAGGTACTAATCTAATGTGGACTTTTAAAAATGATTTTCTGTAAATTACTTTGCAGTTAAAGTTAGTTACCAAAGTTTGTATTTTTCACTCCCATCTAAGGAGTTAATTACTTTAAATGAACATTTCTAAATTCTTGAGTGGATCTACTTGAGTATTCAGATTAAGAAACCCTCCCTGTGATGTTAGGGATATGGTTTTGGGTTAAAAGTTCAGAAAAAAAATAGTGCTTAAAATTTATATGACAGAAATAGTTTAATACAATTTTTTCTTTTTATAAATTAGAAATTTATCATTCTGAGATTGCTAAATAGCTGACATTTATAAATACCTTTGTTGATAACTAAAACTTATAAGAAGAGTTTTAGTTCAATGGATAAATGGTTTGTTGATAATTGTCTTAGTTACTTTCTCATTGCTAGGACAAAATACCTGACACCCACAAGTGAAAGGAGGAGAGGTTTATTTCACTCACGTTTGCAGAGGTTTCAGTCCATAGTCACTTGGCTCCAAGGCAGAGCAGGAGGGCAGGATGCAGGGAATGTATACATACACATTATCTCCAGGCCATATCCACAGAGACCCACCTCTTCTACCAGAGTTCATCACCAGCGTCACACCCAGCTATAATCCCGTCAGTGGGCTAATCCAGTATCTCACACCCCGGATCCATTCACCTCCCCAAAGCCCCACCTATATGCACATGAGCTCTGAAGGACATCCAGATATAAACTATATCAATAATGTTACGTATTGTCTCTACCAGTATATATTTCATAGGTATTATAGATCTGAAACTTGCATATGAGTTTCTTATTTCCAGTTCTGAGATTTGAGTAACTATTTTAAATATAAATACTTAAACTTGAAATATAAATCTGTCTCATTACAAATTGCCTCACTTTCGTATTATCACTACAATCCTTTTGAAGTAGAATTCATACCATATTTATAGAGATTGAATTACTTCTTATTTTTATTTCTTACATTATTAGTTTTTCTATTCCTGCATTTCATACTGACATCAGGTTTTTAGCCTTGGACACAGCTATGGTGCACTGAAGAGCAGCTCTACTGAAAGCAGCATTGTTTCTTAGGAGTATAGAATTCTGAGGGACTTCGGTGGGACCTGACACAGAGAGGAAGGAAGTTTTCGGAAGTTAGCAGGTCATCAAGTCATGTACGTCACACTGTAGGTTGCTGCATGTTCCACCCAGTTGGTGATGACTGAGCATATGTCCCATTGTTTCTCAGAAACAAATCTGTGAACCTGGCAGTGGTCAGTGCAGGTGGAAATATAAGACCTTTATTTTCCCCCTAAAACTGATGAATTAGTCAGAGTTACACACTAGATAGGTGAGGCTTTTTATGCCATATTAAGGAGTTTAGTCTGCATTGTAAAAGCAGTGAGCAGTCTTGAGGCAAAGGATTTAAGCACAGAGTGATAGGATCAAATTCACAGTTTTCAAAAATCAATCTGTCCTCCCAGGTGGTACCAAGTAGGAGTAGGTTAGATTAGGCAGGGGCTCATAGATGGGGTCTTATTCTAGACCTTCAGCTTGGATTGGGAGGATGGGGACAGATACAGAACAGTTGAGAGGTTTAAGGGCTAAATAGTACCATAGTTGAGGAAAAACAGTCTAAAGATGCCTTAGCTTATGACTTACAGAGCTCATAAAATTGGGTGGGGGGCATTTTCTGAAAGGTCTACAGCGTGCAGTGCAAGATCACGAATTGTGACTTAAACCCATTGTGTTTACGAGTATAAACATTTTGTTGCTTATGGGACCAGAGCCCAGCGCTGGAAGGTGTGAGACTGAGTAGAGGCAGAACACAGCATAGAGAAGAAGTGCTTCGTCTTGGACACTTTCGTGTAGTGGGTGTCTAAAGCATGGTATTAATTCAGCCACTGTTTAGCCTCTGTTCTGCTTACCACACAGCATTTGTTGGAGAACGTATTGAACAGGATTATTTCTTGAACCTAGATTCAGTTTTTTTCCATCCTGTCAGAGGCACTGTAATTCTTACTTCGCCCTCATTCCCACATATAACCCACAGCCGAGTGTCAGTTCTGCCTTTGAAATGTGTCTCCAAATCTTTTCTCAGCTTACAAAGCCTGGCACACGCGGGTCCCAGTCAGTGCTGCTGACTTGCTCTTCATTACTGCTGCCTCTTGCCCTGGGTGGCGCTGTCCCAACCTTTCATGTCGCTACCTCTACTCCTCCTTCTGATTTCAGCTAAGGTGCTGAGCCCCTCTTCTCAGACATGTGACTCTGTCTTGGTTTGGTCGAAGAAGGCCTCTTGGTAGGGCTGAGCCTAAATCACAGAAGCAGTAACCAATACAAAACCTTAAATTAATAAGATGACGAAATTAAAATCACAGCTGCCTTCAAAATCATGCAACTTTATCTGCTGAAGATTTTGGACAAAAGGGTCTGTCCACAGATCCAAATAATGCACAGAGGTGTTACCAAAGGAGGCATGTACTGCAGGAAACAGACCTCTGAGTAACTCATTCACTTAGGTTTCTAGACTGTTGCGGAGGGGCTTTTGGCCCAGCTCAGCAGTGCATTCATTAGGGCTTCACATCTGCAGCTTGCAGGCTCCCCTGGGCCTACAGAGTACAAAAGGTGGCATTCCAGGCCAGGGAACACGGCCCCAGACATCAGCAGTCTCACCTCCCAGCTGTCAAACTTGGGTAGCATACTTCTTTTCTGAGAGCTCTAAGTCAGTGGCTGTGGTGAAGATTAAATACATTGTGTTTGTAAGACACCTGCGGCCTAAAAGTAACCAGCCATTGTCTGCTTACAGTATTTATTCTCAGGATACATTTATCAAAATACCAAATTTTAAAACTGCTTTACATCAACTTAGAAGGTAGGTAGTATGATACGTATGCGTACTTTTGAAAAGTACTGACCGATTTCTCATCGCCTTCTCTCGTGACAGCAGGAAGAGAAAAATGATTCTGTCTAAAGCAAAGATAAATGTTATAGAGAACGTAGTTTGCTTTAATTTTTATTTGATCTTTTTATTTTCGCTGATGACACAGTCTCAAAGAATGTGGAAAACTTCAGAAGCAGAGTAGAAGCACTCACTTTGACCCACAGAGACCTTTGAGACTTTCTGTTTACCCAGTGGGTTTGTGTGTTTGCTTGTTTGAAGTCCTGGATAGCAAAATACCAATGTGGAATTGGGAGGCAGGCTTCCCTATTGAAACCTAGAGCCAAACCCTAGGTCTGAGTGATTTCACACAGGTAACGGTTAGTTCAGCACATGAGGAAAAAGAAGTGTGTTCCCGATTCATTTCTGTTGTCAATGCTTTGCATTGCAATTCCGTCGCATGGGTTTTGGATTATAGAGTTGTCACTTCATCGTTATCCACAGGAACTTTCAGGCTCTCCCAAATTAAATCCAGTAGGCGTGTGAAGCTGTGACCTGGACAAAGCAGTATTGGCCTTTTACTCACATGAAAAGTTTGTTGAAAGCACTTATTGTAAAGATAATTGTTTGTTTTTGTTTATCGGTTTCATTTTTCCTTTTTTCTAGGATTATGACAGTTTTTTTGAATCGAAGGAGAGCAACACAGTCCTTTCATTCTTAGGCTTGAAACCCCGCTTGGCATCAAATGTAGGTTACTTTTTTCTTATTCTTTGTTTAGAATTCATCTTTCTTAAATTATTAGGAATTAAGGTTGAAAGTGCTAAAGGGATGCATATACTATAGTTTCCTAAATTTTTAGTTTTTCACATACATAATTCTGAACTGTCTAGTATTAAAATATATAAATAAACCATTTCTTCTTAATTTTAAATTGTTGCTATAAATTTAATTATTAATTTACTTATAATTTCTGCCTGTTTTTCCAAGAAGAATTTCAGGAAGCAAAAAGTAGTAGCTCTTTTTACTTTAAATTGTACATTTACATTACAGCTCACTGTCTGTGTCAGTGGGTTCCACATTCATAGGTTCAACCAACTGTGGATCAAAAATTCTTTAAAAAGTCACATCTGCCGGCGATATAGCTCAGGGGCACAAGCGCCTGCCTGGCAAGCATAAGGTCCTGAGTTTGATTCCAGGTACCTAAATAAATAAATAAATAATAAAATAAAAGGTCACATCTGTCTTACTAAGCATGTGCAGATTTTTCTTGTTGTTATTTTGTGAGCAGTATAGTATAACACCTGTTTACATAGTGCTTGCACTGCATATACGTAATCTCGTGATAACTTGATGTATACAGGTATGTGTTGTATCCATTTTATCTCAGAGGCATGGGCACCTGCATATCTGATGACCTCACAATTGCAGGACAGCTTTACTTTCAGTCTCTTGCAATAGCAGAATCAAAGCCATATCTGAAAGGTCTTCTGTTTGTTTAACTTACTTACGTTGCACAAAAGGTGGTCTGCAGTAACAATGGTCAGCTTTGAAGAAAAATGCTGTAATCCTAAGTCAATCATAGTATTTTAAAAGCCTCTTAAGTCTTTTGTCTTTGGGGAGCCATAAAGGACTCAAATTCGTCTCTTGTTTAGGTCTAGAAAGTAGAAATGATGTATATTTCCACAATTTTATTAACCACATGGATTTGCTTTCAAGATAAAATTGGTATTTATTAAGTAATATTTTGATTTATTTTTTTAAAAAACATTTTTTTTCAAATTATACAAGTAGCCTGAGTTCATTTAAAAAAGTTAAGAAAATACAAAAAAATACAAAGTATTTTGTTTTTTAGAACAAGAAGGGACTACCCAGAACTAACCTCATTGAATTTCTGCACATTTCCTTGCACTGTTTATGTATACAGTAATTAAGGTTTTGACTGTATCTAAAACTGAGACTGGAATCTGATGTCAGTTTTTAACACAATTGAAGTGGAAGTGCATTACGGAACTTTCTTGTCTGTAATAGGTCTTTTGAGGCTACACAGGCTTTGCACCCTCTCTAGAACACCTGTGGGAGGAAGGCAGCGACTACCAGTATTATAATTGCTCCACCTACATTGTGGAGCAGGTGTAAAATCTTGCTTTATTTTTACATCAGTAAGTCCACAGATGGTTGTGAGTAGTTTTTGCACATGTTTTAAGCAGAGGCAAAACCCACACATAAAGTATTTACTGGTTCTTAAAACTATTTTTATAAAGATAGAACATTTGGATGCTTGTTAGGAAAATTAAGAATATTTTTTTATAACATGCTTCATCCAAAGATACCAGACCATCCAGATTTATCTTCAAAGAACTATAAGAAACTGGGGTAGGGGTTATGTAATGGATGCATAAATCCAGTAGGTATCATTGTCTGTGTAAAAACCTGTTATACAATACTATACGATTCCCATGTTTGTTGCATTTCCCCAAAGGTGGAGATTCCCTAGAGAATCTCCATGCAGGCTGACATTTTCTGAGGGTGGGGAGCTGTCATGTCCCCATGCCCACAGCCACTGCCAGGATTCAGTTCCTCAAGGCTGTGACATCCGTGTTCTCCTCTTCAAACCAGCCAGGAGAGAAAGCCTGTTCCCAGCTGCATCTCTACACACAATGGTGCAAGGACATAGGGCAGGAACCTCCCTGGGACAAGAGACCAGGAATTCTCTAGTCGTAATCCATACCTGTTACCCACTAAACGTGAAGTGTCCTTTTCCCCACCCTCTCCTGCCAACAGTCTGTGGGAGGCCCCTTCCCTTCCCTTCCTCCTCTCATTGTAAGGCCCAGGTGCCCTGCAACCGCAAAGATGCACTCTGCATCTCCCAGAGAGAGAGGAACCACCACCCAGGGCCTGCGCTAGAGACCAGGGGGAGGTGCCAGACCCCACCCACCCAGCAAAGCCAGTCAAGTTTGCCTCTTCTCCCTTGTTAATGGGTCAGTTCGCGCTCCACCAGAGCTGTGTCCACTCAGTGTTTCTTCTGCACAAGTTGAAATCTCCACCCCATTTCCTCTTCCTTCTCAGTAAAGTTTTGCCTGTAAATTCATGCTATTTCCTCAGATTTTAATTTCTCTTAACACAGAAGCGAGCTCCCATGCATGCCGTACGTCATCCAAGACATTTTGGTGTGTTCATTCTGAGAACCTAACCATGATTTTAAAAGATGTTTTATATCACCAGGTTCTGCATTGACTGGCTATGTAACAAAAGTGACTGAAATAATGTCTACATATCTATATCTCTATGTGTATCTGTCTAGTATTTTTTATTTCAATAGTAAATTTAGTAACATTTTTCCATTTTATTCTGTGCTGTTTTATAAATTTTATTTTTAATAAAACTTTATGAAACCAAAAACCTGCCAGGCGTGGTGACACATGGCCTGTAATCCCAGCACTCAGGAGGTTGAGGCAGGAGGATCCTTGTGAGTTCGAGACCAGCCTGGGCTACAAAGTGAGCTTAAGGCCCACCTGAACTGCATAGCAAGACCCTGTTTCAAAAAGACAAAAAATGAAAGAAAAAGAAAAAGAAACCCAAAACCTGCATACCACACAATTTATAAACTTAAAATGTAAGATTCAGTAGGCCCCAGCACACTGGAATGTATGGATCTATAAAGTATACGTTCTTACATGTGTGTGCTCGTGTAAGAGCACAACGTTCTTACATGTTGTGCTCATACTGTTTAAGTTGGTAATGAGGCCAGTGAAGTTGGCTTGACTTCCGTCAACCATTTCCAAGGCAGGAAGGGCCAGAGCATCCCAACCCACTGAGCTCAGCACTGCAGGTGGCTGAGTCATCTGTCCTGGGCTGGGGCACTTGGGACCAGAGCAGAGGTCCGTGGTTCAGTGTCTGTGCTGCTCATCCTCAGAACCACTAAGGACCGTAAAGGTTAATAGCAGCTCATGTTTCGTCTTTGTATGAGAGAAGTGAAAATATCTATAAGAACAGTTCTGCATTTCCCCCCTTTCTGTGACTTATTCTTTTTACCTCAGTAGTAATTCACTGTACAGTCGTAGTCTAAGGCTTTGACTTCGTATTCACAGACTTAATGTATTGGAGGATGAAGCCCCCACCCTTCCTACTCCTGCTGTGAGGGGCAAAGCTGGAAAGCCACAAAGGAGGCATCATGAGAACCCGTAATTGCTCTGTACCGTGGGAAAGGACATTCATGGCCCCACACACACAAGCACAGAGAGGACTGGGTCTGGGCTGCTCCCCAGCAGACATGACTGGGGAGTGAGGGAGTTTCCAAATGATGGGCTGCAGGCCACGTTGACTCTGCATATATTGTTTGACCTGCACAGAATTTTTGAAAATAAAAGTAAATGCATTGTAATATGTAAAAGACTGCTCACGTTTCTTAAAGATGGAAGTTGTGGAAACTCCAGGGTCAGGGGAACGCTTTCCCTCATGGATGCCTGGATCCAGGGTAGTTCTCCCCCTTGGTACATGCCTAACCCCAGCGAAGGAGGCCTTCTCACTGCTGCTTTCCACGTAGAAACCCATCAAGTTTGTTATTTTAGTAGTCTCCAAGCAGAGCCTGTTGTAGAAATTTCTGCTTCCAGGTCCCTGTCACGTAGCAGTGATACTCAAAATGTGTAATAGCTGGCAAACCTGCACACTGGCCAGCCAGAGCTGGAGCGAGTCCTGCAGCTCCTGGGCCAGGTCACAGTCGTTCAGTGATTGCTCCTGAGAGGGGATGGAGTGGCATTTGGGCAACTGGAACAGTGACTGTTGACTAACAGACATGTCCACACCAGTGCTGTCCCTCACCTGGGGTCACCATTGACCCACACCTCTTCTGGCCCCTCAGTGTGATAACACTTATCTGCCCGGAGCTGGTTCCCTTGTGAGACAGCCAGCAGTCTGCTGAAAGCTGTTATATTTGGTAGGTTGGATGGGTGTGATGTAAATCTGGGCTCTGATCCTAAAACCCAGGAGGTGCTCTTATTAATCGTATAGGGATGATGTATTACGATTTCCAACGTGTATGTTCCTGACATTTAAAAAAGTCACTACCAAAGGAAAATGTTCTTGTCAGTGCAGTTCAATCCAATAACTGGTGCCTTTTTTTCTTTTGACAGGCAGAGCCTTAGGAGGGAAAAGTGGGAGGTGATGGAGATGCATTTGGAACAACACCTCCTGGTACCCAGCATACACCTGCTTACCTAACGCATCACTGTGACAGAGGCCACATGCTCCATCAGTAACTTTGCTTGCCATGGAAATGGTGTCTTGGAAGATGTGGGTATAATGGGACTTGCATGATTGCTTTAAACCAAATCAGGACTGTGGTGGGTTTGGAATTTTTTTCTTCTTTTCAGATTGACCTGCAGTTGTCTCACCCGAAAGTACTGTTACCTATGATAGGTGTGCTTCTTTTAGTAACTGATATATAAGCAGGGACACCATGAGGGAGAAAATGCTGGATCTGCCTGTGTTGTAACAGATAATGGTGTTATAACAGCTCACTTCTTTGTGAGCTTCCTAGATTGCATCCTTGACATTATCTGCCAGGCTATTAGAATCTGAAAGAGAAAGAAAAAAAGCAGTGCTGGTTGAAAAAGACCATTGAAGATTTTTGCTGCAGAACCACAGACATCACTCTTCCAGTGCGTTATAACAACACGTTGAAAACATTGTTCTAGAGTTTGTTTTTTTAATGGAAAACTCTTATCCCCATGAATCCTCGAAACTCCTGCACACTTCCAAAATCATTGTTGTATTATAAAATCATTGCCACCAAGAAATGAAAATAATTGCTAGTTTGGAAAATATATGCTTCTTTTATCTCTTGCAAGGGGGAAAGTTTCACCTAAACATACAGGACTGCTTGAAAGATACATTTTAAGAGGTGCACAAACTGGATAGTAAATTTATAGGGAAACTGTCAGATCAGTATCTGAAGGCAGTTTCAGCTGTAGCAATTCATATATACATAAGTGCACATATATTTTTAAAATGCAGCTCCCCTAATAGCTGTGTATTCTATTTTGTGAAGGGATTCTATTTTTTTGAGAAAGGAAGATCTCAGTTAGATGTATTTTATGAACCCTTGATGAGGCATATTAAACTAATATTGCTGTACAATTAATTTTTTTTTCCTGTGTTACTTTTCATTGTTCCTCTACTTGGCTAATGTTTTTTCCAGTACACAGTCTTGGACTTTTCCGAGTAGTACAGAAACACGTTCTTGTTCCTTCTATAAGTAGAGTGAGGGTCCAGAGCAGTGAGTGTGAGGAAGGGCTCTCCAGAAAGTAGCTCTGAATTGCACTTGGCGAGCAGAATCTCCCCCAGCTGCAGTGGGTGCTGATAAACACTGAACATGTCTACTTCAGTAGCGCAGAGACTATTTTCTGTGTCCTTACATTTTTTTAGAGTTTGAAATTGCCAAACCTGGGAACACCCTTGACTAGGATAAACTCAAAGGGTTGACTACAGTACTGAACTATTCCAGCCATCCTGATGCTAGTCCTTTTAGTACGATTGTGAGAAGGAAATTTATGAGAGCAGATGAGTTAGAGCCCCCTCCCCCATCTCCCACTTCATGCCTTGCCAGGTGTAGACATTCCGTAAAACTTTCTGAGTGCTAAAGCTGAAACCCCTGAGACTTACAGTCCAGATTACAATCAGAAGAGCAAGACAGAGTTCTTCTGGCCTAGAGTCCACAATTTTCTCTCCCAGGAAAGTTTTATGTCAAATCATGGATGTTCCTGATTAGTTGGTGTTAAAACAAGATCCAGGTCAAATTCCATTTTTTAAATCCCAGGAACTATCCAGGAATTTTTTTTTCCTAACTGGATATTGTGTTTGAGTATGTAAGTCTTCTGAGAATACTTAAAGTTTCTTTTTAAGATTCAACAGTTTTAAAAATTGTTGTGTTGTAATTCCCCACCTTGCGTTCTACTCTTACGAATGAGTGCTGAAGACCAGTTTGGTAAGATTAAAACTTTGTAAGTTTTGGGATCATAGGTCAATACCATCCTTGCTAGACAGAGGAAGTGACCCAGATTTTCCTTAGTAACTTTTGGATTAACCACACATACCTAGTATGAGTATATTATACCGGATGGATAACAGTGCTAAAGTACTACAATTTTTATGTATCATCTTCTTATCACAGTTTTTTGTTTGTTTTTGGATCATCAAAGAACTACAAGAGAATAGCCTTCAGGACTTCCTGTACTTGTTACGGAGGAAGAACCACCGCAGTGGTATTTACTGAGGTAGCCAGGCCCCGCAGAGTCCCGAAGCATTGCCCTTGGGGACCATTCCATGTTCAGAGAATATTGTGTCCTTACTTGTATTCTTTTACCAGCTGAATTCCAAAAACGAAATAATGATTTTTTTCTTATTCCCTTGAACTAGCTGCCTTTATTTAGATTTTGATAATCACAGTCTTAAAAACCTAGGAAAGAAGTGGATTTGTAGGCAAACATGTAACATCAAGGGCATTCCAGGCAGAATTTTAATTTCCTGTAGTAAGCTTTTTGGGACAAAGGAAGCATGATACGAAAAATCAAAATATGCCATTTATAAAATAGATAAAATATAGAGTGCCATCCTGCTAGGTGTATGCAGACAAGAAGAAAAGTAGTTGGGAAAATACTTCAAATTCTGGTATTTTATTAAAATCAAAGGGAAGAAAAAGAAGATATTTTGCCCCTGGGCTCTAATATATTTTAGGTTTGTTTCTGTTTTATAGATTTAATTCAACATTCATACCTAGATGTTTTTATATTACATGAGTTTAATAATGAACTAAACTTGTTTTTGATTACTGAAAGGTACCAAAGGTCTTCCTGTTTCGATTGTTTCATTATGTTTGATTTTATTGTGGGGTTTTGCTTGGTTTAACAGCTTCTCTTAAATGTCAGAACCCACTTCTGTCTGTATAATTATTGTTTTTAGATTTCAGTTTGTATGTGTTTGTCTCTAAAGGCATTGGTGAAATCACAGATGTTATGTTAAGCATTAAAGGGGAATAAATTCCAGAAAAGACACATTCTGAAAGTGGAGTTTCTGTTTCCGGCCATTTCTCAGACTGTCCCTAGTTCCAGTTCTTGGTTCAGCTGAATTCTTTCTGTTTAGGTGAGAAGCTGCTCCCCTCCATGAATCCCATGCATGAGAACTGCAGATTCCTTGGTAAAAACACAGGCATTATGTGACCGCTGAGGAGCCTCATGTGTGTCACGGGAGTCGTGCCAGATAATGGCCAGGCCACGGGTGCAGCGAAGCACCAGCATGGGAAGGCTTGGATGGCCAAGTGCAGCCACACCTGCTGGGTGTGGCACTTTGTTGCTTGCAAAAGCAAGGTCAGGTGGCCAGGACTCCTTTGGTAGGTTCCCTCTGAGGAAGCTGCTACCTCTGGAAGCAGAAGAAAACATTTTTAAAGGGAGTGTTGAGCCTGATCTCATCACTGTGCTATTTCAAACTTTTAAACCCTCAGGAACGGTAGAGGAAAGGTTCAAAGGGAACAAACTGTACATTTGCACAAATGTACTAAATCACAAACCCAGATAAGCAAAGTGGTCACTGCCTGCTTGTGACCCAGATGGCCAGACTTTTCCTAGGTCTGGAAATGCCTGTCATGTTAATTTGGTCATCCTTACCATCCGCATGTATTGAGCCCCTAGAATGTGATGGTTCCCCAGAGGAGGACAGTAGTGTCCATCATCAGGGATGAGAGAAGTGAACACAGATGCAGCAGTTACAGCAGGAGTCAGTGAAAGAGTTAAATTCTAACACTTCAGGCTACGGTACATCATCTCAAACGGTGTCTATAATCCCTTTGTTGCTGCCGTTGTTAAAACCATCCCAGCTTTTAAAATTTCATATATGTACAGATGCATTCATGTGCATTGTATGTATTTATATGCTAAAGTATAAAGAGTAGTAACGACAAACAAACCCTGTGTGTGCCTGCCGCTACCTATGCCTTTCCTTTGGGGCACTGTGCTCTCCCTGCCTGTCTGATCCAAGTCCCATCTTGTGCTTGTGTTGACCGTAGCCTTCCTGTCCTTGATCATTCTGCTTCCATGTATGTATACTTAAAGGGTAATAAATGGAATTAAACCAGATTTTTTGTCATTTCCTTTTGATGTTCATAGCAGTGGGAGATTTTACTGCTAAACATTTTTCCATTGTACAAATATAGTTTTTCCCTTCTCCAGTTACTAATTATTGAACTGTATGTTTGTTTGAAGTAGATAAAGGAAATGTTGCTATGAAAATTCTTTTATGTGATGTCTGGTGCACAAGAGTGGGTATATACCTTGAAGAGAACTCGGGTTGGACCGTAGAAGCACATTCTCAGCTTTAATAGATAAAGTCAAATTCCTTGCCAAGGCGATGTTCCTACCACTATACCACAATGTTTGGACCTCTAGATCCCAGCCAGCCTTCGGGATGACCAGAGTAAATTGCTGCCAAGCTGAGGAGTATAAAATGGTATCTTACTGTGGTTTCTTTTGGCATATTTTTATTAGTAGAATGTTGAGCGTGTTTATTGTGGGAAATCCTACTTCTTGGAAATCCCTCTTCATGTCTTTTACCTTTTTCCTATTCAGTTGTGTTTTTAGGTGTTAATATTTAAGATTTTTTTTATACTTACCTTTATCGGTCAATTACTGATTTAATTTTTATTTTCTTATTTTTATGTATATATGTATCCATGCATTTAATTATTGCAGCATTGGGAATCAAACCTATGAACTTGTGCATGCAAGGTATGCCCTCTGCCCCTGAACAAAACCCCAACCCCAAGGTTTAACTGTTGAGGAGAACCAGATTAAAAGAAAAATCTTCTGAACCTATTTCCAGAAATGTGAAAAGCACACAAGTCTGGATTCCATTTGCATAAAGTTAAGTGCATACATTCTGTATTTTTTGTGTGCACTGATTTTCAGCTGTCAGCTGAGAGGTGCTTTGGAACTCACCCTGCTTAAGGGGGGTTCTTTTTCTTTAAGGCTCTTTTTAAGGCTCATCAGTTGCAGTTATTTGGCAGGAAGTTAATGTGATTTGTGTTGTGATTTAGTTTGCCGCAGCAGGATTTCACCAAAAGGAAAACTTTATATAAACTTCATGTTTATAAATACATATTTCCTTAGTATCCAGTAGGCCAAAGTGATATTGTACTTAAGGGAACATTAAACAGTTATTTCTCTATGTCGTGAGAGAATATATTGAACCTGCGCTCCTCACTAAACAGCCCTTAAGTGAATGAGGAAGATCTGCCGCATGCTGAGCACAGCCTGGTGTGTTGCGGCAGCAGCACGTTCACCTGCGCATGAACTGACTGGGGGTAGAAGAACAAGAAACCGGGGCGTCATCTTTCTGTCTGAGGCTCCTGGTAACTTTGGGAAGTTTTTAATAGCCAGAGAGTACTAGTGTTTGAAAGTATGTTAATTGGCAACTTGATTTTTCCTTCCTAAATTTAGTAGAACAGAGATTTCAACCTTTTTGTGTGCGTGCTGATGTGTCGCATTTGGTCCTGTAATAATACACTTACCTTGTCCCTGAGAAAGCTGTCGCCCAGCTGTCTTCACCATGTGACAGAGACCACAGCTCCAGCACAGCACAGCACTGTCTAGCATGGTACCAGCAGTCCACATGCGGCTCCACAGCGCTCAAAGTGAGCCAAGTTGAATTTGTGATACATTTTGTATTCCACATTTTACAGATTTAGTGGAAAGGTTACAAAAAATCCTCATTAATAGTTTTTATATTGTTTACATATTGAAATGATAATACTTTGCATATATTAAGTTAAATATTAAAATTTTTACCTTTTCCTTATCCTATTTTTAAATTTCCCTAGAAAATTTAAAATGACATATATGACCTGCATTATATTCCTAGTGGATAATATTGTTCTAACCAACCTCTCTATTTGAATTTACACTAGAGAAATAGATAACTTCAAATTTTTTTATTTTTTTGTTTTTTTTTTTTTTTTGCAAAACTCACCTTTATTTGTAATACTGAAAGGAAATATGGACATCTTTGGGAATATAATTTTCTAATATGTTGCCAAAGTAAATGCTTTTCTGATTTTCCTTTCTGCCTCTCTGGCTTGAAGCATTTTTGTGGTGAAAAAGGAGGTTCTTTTTGCTTAGAAAAACAGAATTAACAGTAATATCGTGGGTTGCCATACTGTGTGACACCTCTATATGTCTACTCTCCAGTGTCCCCTATATCTGTGAACAAAGGCATAGTGGCATTTTGTTTTTCCTTTTTTTAAAAAAAGGATTTAATGAACCACACTGATACCATCTGTAATCTGCAGGACAGTGGTGAATATTAATAGGATTTAGTCCTAGATCTCTCTGTATGTGTAAAACTCATTTGAGCTCATAAGAATGTGTGGATAATCTGCCTTTAAAAAGTTTCCTTCTGCTGTCATTGCCAAAGATTAAAACAGAAGGTTGTACGTATAATTGGAAAATCATTCCTTTCCTTGCCCAGAATTTTTAACCATTTTAACCATACAGATTAGGGGTCTGGGAGATCCCACAGTTAGCTGTTGTCCTAGTGAAAATAATGTTGGGGAGAAACCAATATTGTTTTTGTCCTTAAAGTCTTTGACAGTAACAGCATTCATTAAGGAGAGCAGTTTTTTGTTTTGTTCTGTTTGGGAGTCGACCCTGAAATAAGGGACCAGTTGAAGCATTCTTGAAAGTCCAAGAGACGCCAGCCGTCTGTGCTTCATGCGGTTCCTGACCCTGATGCCCTGGCTCACTCTGTGTCATTCTAATGAGTAGCCACACCTGTGTGGCATCTAGCTTTTGGGGATGGTGGAACAACCTGACCAAGATAAATGTGATCTAGTTTCTTGATACTAAACTGTAAGTTCTCTCATTTTTCTCCCTGCCAGTCCATTCTTATTATGAGCTATATCACCAGGTTGAAATACAGATTAGGGGTCTGGGAGATCCCACAGTTGGCTCAGTGATTCCCTCTGAGATCAGTACCAGGCCTGATGGACCGCCAATTTGGCACTGACACTGCTGCCCTCGCCCCCAGATTGACCCCTTCCTCACTGTCCTGTCTTTGTGGTGAACCAGTTTTCAACAGTGTGCTCCAAGTCACGTCCCAGCTGACCAGTCAGGGTAGCAGAAGTGAGGCCCACAGGCTGTGAGGCGGAAGGACGATGCCAGCTGCAGTGTTCCTTACTGGGGGTCCTGCTTTACGTGCTTAATAAGACTTATTATCCTGCTCTTTATTTCAGTAAAGGCAAAATCACCAATCACCAGTTTAAGCCCAGATGTATTGTTTTTTTTTTTTAAAAAATTGATTCTTGTCTTATACTAAGGAGTTTACTTATTAACAAGTATTATACTTATGTTTGCAGGATACTGTTGAAGAAGAAAGTATACTATTCTTTGTAACTTGTGAGCATAAATATTTAGTGTTTAATATTTTTCAGGGCTCCTTTTTGGATATATTTTATTTGGTTTGGCCCTGCTTGTACTAAGAAAGCAATTACTTCTATGTCCTCTTTTTCTTTGTATACAACAAATATGTCATAAAAGCTGATTCTACAGTTAGGTGGAATGTATGGTTTATTAGTTTGTGTTCACTAGTCAATTTGATGTGCAAATATTTGACAGCCATTTACTGGAAAGTCTAGTCCTGTTGTATCTCTAGAACTTCGACTCCTTATATCTTCTTTTCTGCAGACAGTTGCCATTTAGTAAGTTTGAAATACTTTGCATCCATGTCAGACCAATTAGGAGGTAAATGTCACACAATGATTTAAACAGTGGAAGTGAAAGAAAAGGAATTGCTAGACTCTGATAAGAGAACGGCTGTTGGATGTAAGAAAGCTGTGTCTTGTGCTAGAGGTGAGGGACAATATCCATGAAAGGCCAGGCTTGAGGAAGCCGGTCTCAGCCCTTCTTGGAGAAGGTGTGATTGCAGTCCCTGGATGGCACAAAGTCAGCTGAGCAAACAGGAGGTGACCCCCGCAGCACAGGGCAGGGCCAGGTGAGCCACAGCCAGCGGCCCAGTGTGTGTGCTGGCAGAGAGGTGGGTGGCAAGTGTGGACGGGAGGTCTGGAGGGCACCGTGTTTACGTCAGAGGGAGAGGTTATCACCAGGCTGCACCCAAGTGCAGGGTCCCTGGAGCGCCATATGTTCCGGGATTTGAGCTGAAGCAGAGCTGCCCCCACCCCGGTCACTGAGTCACAGCCAGCCATGGCAGGAGAGCCCCACCTGTCCTTGAGCGTCTCTCCAACACTGCTGAGGAACCTCAATGCCGTGTTCACAGTGCAGGAGCACAGCCTAAGGTATTGTGGCCTTTATCCCAGAGTGGTCACTCAAGAGCCAATTTGGAGCTAAGAAGCAGTGAGTAACACGTGTCTTATAAGGGTTCTGTGAAGGTTTTCTCAAAGACTTCTCATCTAGAATTAGCTATGTTTACCGAGAACAAAAGGACTTCCAGCATTTTGTAAAGTGTAAGTGGCTTAGGGGGAAGTTTCCATTACAGGCAGTATTGATGCCTAGCTATCAATTATCTAGAACCTCACTGTGGGAACTAGTGAATCGGTTATTAACTAAGCTTGTCACAAATGTTACAGGAAAATGCAAAGTTCAGGATGTAACACAGGTTTCTAATCATCCTTATTTTGTAATTCTATACCTAGTTTATGAAGGTGTTGAAATTTCAAGGAACAAGCATGGTGCTGAAGTGTATACGTAAGATTTATAAAATTGACTCCTCATGTAATTGCATAATTGGAGTAATGTGCACCAGGCTGTTTTTTAAACATTGGTCTTAGCCGAGCTGTACAATCTCTTTAATTCTAGAACAGTGAACACAAATGTTGCCAATCAGCTTAGGGTTCTTTTGCTCAGTTCAGATGGAAGTCATGAATCGGCAGAAATTCAGCTCTGCTAGCAGTCCTGATGTCACCGGTTGGCAACTGTTGGATGATGCTGAATGCCAATAGTTCACACAGCTGTGTGGTCAGTGTGGCTGCCAGCTACCACTGTCCAGTGCTGGCTGCTGCTGTGCTTGTGACAACTGGGTACTGGTCTCTGAAGCTCTTTAATGTTACCAGTTGAGTGTTTATTGTTCT